TTGAGTTTCTGATTAACAATATCTATGCGGTTTTTGGAGACCAGGTCTTCCAAAAATCTATTGGAATTCCCATGGGTACCAATTGCGCCCCGTTATTAGCAGACCTATATTTGTATTCATATGAAATAGAATTCGTTCTTACTCTAATAGGTGGGGAAAAAGACGCTTGCTGTGGACTTCCACTCGACATTTAGAAATATCGAGGACATATTGTCAGTTAACAATGGTTATTTCTATTCTTATGTCGACACGATATATCCCGGTGAGCTTGATATAAAAGATACCGAGTCTGACACATCTGTTTCATATTTGGATATTTTACTAGAAAAAGACGTAATCTTGATGATAAACGTGATGACTAACTTTTCAAACGTCAACTCCCCTTACTCGTGCAGCAATATACCCTTATCACCTGCATACGGGGTTTATATCTCTCGGTTGATTCCATACGCAAGAGTATGCTTTACGTATGAACAATTTCTAAAACGAGGTAAGTTATTAACAAAATCTTGAAACAAGAATATCAGCAGTCTCGTTTAAAGTCATCATTTCGTAAGTTTTATGGCAGATACAATGACCTTGTCAGCAAATACAATCTATCATCAAGTCATATGCTAACTGACGTTTTCAAACAAATTATTATGCCATTATTAACACATTTGTTGACAGATTTTTCCGTAATTTCCCGATCATGAGAAGGAGCACACGGCGGGTGTGACCGGTCGGCAGGGGATGCTCATTCCTCCATGGCACCTGATCCCATCTCTGATGTTTTAAAGGATTGTGTTTGCTCTTGATTTGTATTGTCAAATGGACTTTTAAGCTTGAATACTGTTCAAAAAAATAGTTCAACTCCAAGTTTAGGGCTGATCACATTGTTTAACACACTCTTTGTTTAAGCACACTATATGTTGGGATTCCGTTTTGTACAAACCTGATGTCAATTTCCTGATTATCACTGTGTCTGTTCATAACTGAACTTGTGTATTCACATCAGAGCGGGGGTATTATTAGTGAGCACTGGCTCACAGACCTTGTTTTTAAAACAATGAAAAAAAGACATGTAATGCTATAATTTTTAGCGACATTTTATCCCATCGCCGACTAATACCCCGCATGACAATCACTTATCTTTCTGATCACATGACTTAATTACTTATAACAATTTCACTATAGTTTATAGAAAATTCAATATCGCAAGGGCATAACCTTTTTTTCCCAGAGAAATCCTCTACACCGATATATATAAATGAATTTCCTCAATTGAAAAACTGCTGCTGTTTTAAGATATTCCCACTTTACACAGGGAAAAACAGATCGAAACCATTACAAAATTTCGTTGTTTCGGATGAAAATGCTGAATCACGGATATGCCGAGAAATGTTTGTCAAATTGCTACATTTCTAGACTTAATTGCAATTATTGGAATGGACTCCTGCTCAATCATTACAAAAGGATAATGGCACATAGATGACCATGAGCCCCCCAAATGCCACATGGTTCTCTGGAACGGAAAAGCCAGCGGATACTTCTATGAACTATGGAGACAGTAGTACTGTATTCTCTAAAACAAGATGCAGTTGTTTATGGTGTAAGATATTATTGAGATGAGGGCTCATTTGACACGTGACAAGGAGACTAGACCTAGATGCTACAGTACATAAGATTAAGTCTAGATAGTATTTATGGAAGTATGGATAAGGGGGGGGGGGTTATTAACAGAATTCAATCGCTTAAGACAAAAGCAGGGTAAGGTGTAACAGCTTGGAGTTGCAGAGTAGAGCGGATCATAGGAAAAGCTGTTGACAGAGGACCTGTACAAAGAAAAAGACAAAAAAAATTGCTGCATTGCTTCACGCTACGCTATGGACTGGACACCATCTATTTTTATACTTCGTATTCTTATTAAATCTCTACTGATCCAATTGAAATCTTGACCTGTAAAGCAGCTGCCGCTGCTTCAGCCATGTTGAGAAGAGGTGGGTTGAAGAAATTATCCCTAATAACTTCTTCTGAAGAAGAAAGTGAATGTACCCAGGAAAACGGCATTCACGTCCCTAATCTGCGCGTGGCATACCGTGTCTGTCAACATTGTGAGCATTTACCCATTGATGATCCTTGTCCTCAATGTCGACACATGGGACCCCGTCAACATGTGTTTAAAAGGGCAAGATACTTTAAAACATGTCCATGATGCCTTCCGCTTTCGGATTCACCGAATTGTAAAAGGGTATTTCCCTCACTTCTATCAATACGGAGCAGAACCAGAATTATGTGGGGCCTTATCCCCCGGCATTTCCTATTCTGTCATATAGACCTTCTTCATTACTTGCAGTGTTTTGAAAGAGTCCATCTATGCCTTTGTAGCCCGTAGGCTGGTGTCAATTAAAGACATGTGGCTTAACGCACCAGTGATCGCTTACGGTAGAGACATTAAACCAGGATTTCCTATCTGTGAGGAGTTCCCATCTTTCATCTCGGAGTCAATCATTACGAAAAAGTCTTTTTTTCACAAAAAATGGCTGAAATTGCACGAAGTCTGTTGCAAATATGACTGCAAAGATTTTTGGGCACAAAACTAGTTTTACTTCATTTGACAAATTATTTTCCGATCTGAAGCTTGACCATCACCATCACTGACCTTGTGAATTACTGTCTTATTTATTTTACATGTTCTCCCGAGTTTTTCTTGTATAATTATTTTTTTCAATCTTTTGTCGTAGACAATCAATTGTGTAATCTTTTCACTTCCTCGACAATTAATGGAACAAAAATGTTGAGCAGTCACCCTGTTCAATTTCAAAGGAAAATGGTTTCATTTCCACCTCTCTCATTAAATGACAAAGAAAAGATGAATTTGAATATGATACACTCTATATCTCTGGAAACAACAAAATTTAAGTATGGTAAAAACAAAATTATAGGGACGGATTGATTTTGATGCGTTGCTCAAACGGACCATTTTTATTGTTAGCCCAGTGTAGTAAAGCTTATGATCTGGATCATAATAATCTTGGGTCAGAAAAGTCTAGTGTGAAGTAGTTGAGTTTTTTTAAATAACAAATTGGAATTTCAACGAAAATATAGATAGAACAGACAAGCTAATTTTTCTTCACTCTTGTAACATTGCTGGAGAGTTTGAGAAAAGCAATTATGCAGGTAATGTTTAGAAAAAAAAAAACTTGTTCCGAGTCTTGAGAAGCAATTCTGCTCAGTTTGTCCACAATAGGTGCGTTCCTTATGTGTTGGCATCTCCCTGCAATAAAAACAAGTGAACCAGTTAGGCTGTCCTTGCACATGATCAGCAGATGGATGGTGTCCACTCCCTGGGCCCTGCTGATCTCCTCCAGGACATCAAAAGCCGAACTTCGGTTCCTCTGGAAGAGTTGTAACATAAGATCTCTAAAGTTATCTTCTGGCATATTATGAATGCGTTCCTGAGAAAGAAACACTGAAACATATGATGCATCCACTTCATGCAAACATCTGTTACACAATTTATCGATATAAGGCATCAAATTAACTTTTATAAAAATCATATATGTTCTATTCTTGTAAGTGTATTTAATAAGGGAATATTTTAGTAGACCTACCTGCAACTGAATATATTTAGCAGCAACCGCCCTAACCTAGAAAAACCTATAGTATACTATAATTAACTATAGTAAATCTAAATTTTCAAAGTTATCACAACTCAAAAGTTATCATAGTGATCACTGTTGTAAATCAAAGCTTTCACTTCAGTAAATAAAGTTTTCATAGTGATCACTATAGTAAATTAAAATTTCATAGTTATCACTTTCGTAAATCAAAGTGTCAAAATTATCACTGTAGTTGACTATAGTATTTTTTGTTAGGGCGCACCTATTCTATCAGGTACCTTCTGCCGCGACGAGCAGCACGAACACCCTGTCCCCTGGAACGACCCGATCTTACTCTTGGATGACAGACACGCCCCCTTGCAAATCTTGCACCTCTAATACGTCTTAGTTCAACAGAGCTTGAATCAGTACCAGGGCCCTACGTAAGGAAAATTTCTAGATGGCACACACACAAATTAATTAGTTTTAGTTAAGTATAATCAACACCTATAGGCATAAAAATAGAGAAGTTAATCATGTAGTTCATTTTAATTTATTATGGTCCATAGTATGTTCGTGATCGTCAGAAAGTGCAACCGATTCTTAATTATCTTTTGAGCTGAAATTTTATAGGTTTAGATCATCGCCGCTGCGGCCGGTGATTGCACAGTGGCAGTGTATTAAACTGACGTAACATTAGCTTCTCTCCCACTTTTTTTGAAGTAGCGATCAATTAAAATAAAACATAAGACAAATGATATTAATAATTATATCGGACAAGAAATTGTTACAGATATTTAATGAGGCATCGGATCTGATCATGCGACAATCAACATTTCACGTTAAACTCGGTCTGACAGTGTCGATACAGTAATTTTTTATGTATGTAGATATGTATCTCCGTTTTCGAGAAATTATTCGGGATATTAACTTGACCTTTGAGTATAATTCTTTTTTATTTATAGTTTAAAGATAATAAAAATATACAAAGATATAGACTCTGAAACAGTTTTCTGAAAGGGAATATGTTACTTTACATCAAATAACGTAGTCCCGACAACCCCCATCGTGGGCCGCAACGAACATTTTCTTTCATTTAAGAAGTTTTCACGTTTAAACTAAAATTTTATGAATTGCAGAGTGTGTATAATTTTTTTTTGTCATAAACTTTTATAGATTTAAAATCTGTTTTTATTAACTGGGCTTATAATAAACTGAAAAAACTTACAACTAGCGTATTGGAATCCATCTTGCTTTCGGCCTCGGCTGACTCCAAACGTCTTCGTCATCAATGACGATTGCTACGTCAGACTCAGCAGCGAAAGATAATAGCACCGATCGATAACTCTTGAGTGTGCTAAATATAACTCAGTCCCACAGTGCATTACGCGCGTCGCCATACTTTCGGACGATAACATCATGGAGGTGTCTGAGGTGGATAATGTATTAGCAGTTAATATTAGCGAAAAACACGAACGCAGAGGTGCAACTAAGCATTGTGCATATGGTCTATGTAAAAGTGACTCTAGATATATGGATAGACTAGGTATGGAAGGCGTTTTCTTCATTCGCTTTCCACAATTTCATCGGGAACCGGAGAAATGTACTCGATGGGCCAGTGCATGTCGACGAGAGCATTTTACTGCTTTGTCAGTAAAGAAGGATACATATATATGTAGTTTGCATTTCAAGGGCGGTAGAGGCCCCACGGAAGAATATCCTGACCCAATTCCGGCAACAGCTACCAAACATGAGGTAAACACAGCTGATCTGACCTACATGTAAAAACTTTTTTAAAAGGCCGACATGTCAATGTTTATGGTATTACATGTATGTTCATTAGTCTAAAATATCACACTAAGATTATAGGTAGATACATGCGAATTTAACAAATATTGTGTACCCAGCACTACAATAAGGTATATATCATATGCCAATAGGGTTGAAATATGTGCTATATTCTAATAACATATCACTGTTATAAGTAAAGTGTCGCATTTTATCATAATTTAAAAACAAATCGCTCTCAACAGAATTGTTGACAATACAAGTAAGACGTTCATTCTCATTCATGGAAATGTGTGTGCGTGCATGTAATGTTTGCTTCATAGAACCTACATTGTCATGTAAAATTCCCAAAAATATCAAGAGTAAATAAGTATTGTCGAATTTTTTTTATTTATTTGATATCATAGTACCACTATGCCAAATTATATACATATCTAGAAAATGTAAATTCTTATCGTTATATTTGTTTTCAGCTTGAAAAATTTGTCAGAAACAAAAAAAAGAGGCCGTTAGTGCGAAAAAATTTAACATGGTCACCAGAACCCAAACGCAAGAAGAGTGATTTGGTGAATATAGACATTGTTGAAACGAAAGCTACTAGTGCACCGTCAGATGAGGATCATTGCACAACTAATCATGATACAGTCCAGGCAGCAGAGGCATTATTAATGTTGCAGAATTCTGAAAGTGAACAAGTGAGTTAAACTTTGAGGGTTTTTAGAAATTTTCTGTATTATATCAACAGACATGTGCTATCTCCCTTTCTCTAAGGTATATATTTTTTAGAGGTGTGTCTGGTCAAATGTGTACTGGCTTTTCCATCTAAATAATGTTGTATATAAATACTAGATTATTTTTACAGTGACAATACATTTTCACCCACTTAAAAATTGAAATGTATTAAAACAACAACATGCTTTCATTGTTGTTTCATTACTCAATATAATGGTAAGTTTGTTGCAATAGTTGTGAAAAAATATGCAGGTGATGCAGTTTTTCTACAATGCCTGCAACTGATTTGCTTACATGATTCAACAAAGAAATAATTTAGCATTCAATTAATCCTGATTAGGTAGGTTTAAGTTAAATGCAAGGTCTTCCATCTCTAAGTTCTTTTTTCAGTGGTTGACACTTAGCAAGTACCGGTCTGTTTAAAAGAAGTTGATCTTTGAAGGAGTAAGAGTCAAAACTTATTTTATTTTGCAGGTAAACATTGTTTCTGATGGGCAGAAAGGTCTAAATATCCAAGATCCGTATTCCATGTTAAAGAATTCATGTGATGAAGAAACCCAGACATCATCTTGTTGCTTAACCTTGAATGAATCTTTAGCATTAAAATCAGAAAATTTTGATTTAAAAAGCAAGATTTCTGAACTTGAAAAAAATGTATACAGTCAAAGACATTTTCCATTGCTGATGTGAAAGTTGATGACAAGAAAATGATATTTTACACTGGTTTAACTTATGGGCAATTTATGTGTTTGTGGAAAGGACAAGGTGCGTTTGGTGCAAAATATGGCCCCGTGTCAAAATTAAATAATATTCCTTAAAACTCTTTGAAAGAGTGTATATTTTCATGAAATTATCAATATATGCATGTACAAAGCTTTATTTATGTTTTATATAAACGTAAAAGTAGCATAGTTTATGATAACGTTGTGATATTTTGACGTTGCTTTATGCGAAGTCATGAACAAGAATGGGACGTCATGTTTTAAAATAAATCCAGCTTACATGTAAATTTTACTATGTACGTATATTTAATCTCATTTTCATATAAACGTACATTTCGATGTATTGGTATACATGTTATAACATACTTGTTCCATGCTTACTAAATTATTTTTCATAATTAAAGACAAATCTTTTATCAATTGGTATGGTTGGCTTTGAAATTTTTTGAATCATAGGGGAAAAAAGGGATGTACATGTACAGTACATTCTAAGCGGATTTCTGACTTTCCGAGCCCCGCATTGGCACAAGCAAAGTATTGGTTTTATTGTTTTAACTTGACGATCCGTAATTGCCAAGCTTTGTAAAAAAAAGACTTAGAGGATCGTTAAACTTTTTGTTGGATTTTGATTGCAGGTGTTCAAGGAAATGATTTTGTGTGTAATAATATATCTTCCTGCTTATCTGCATTATATTTTCAGGAAAAAAAAAGAAAAAAAAACATTTTACGCTCCCTACTGGACACTGCTTTTCTGTGGTTTGATTTACATAAGTTTACCTGTGTCTACCTATTATAATATTTTATTTGCGCTGTCCAGAGGTAGAGCCCATCCTTAAAAAAAGGAAAGGATGTGAACCTTCATTTATTCTTTTCTTTCAACAGTTGGGAAATATTCCAACATCGAAGTTATCAGCAATTAATTTACCCTTTTTTTCTTCAAAATTGCAGCTTGTTCCGACACATGAATATATTAGGATCTATGGGTTATTGAACAGATAGCATGTTTCAACGACATTTTATACGTATTAACTTATACATCTTCACATTGTCAAGGTTTTGTGATATTGTTTCTCTTCACTACCTTTTTAAATAGGAATGATTTCACAAAACCTTGACATTGTGAAGATGTATAGGTTATTGCGTAGATGACCTACAATCTACTTGGTCTATTAACGATGTTTTAGAGACTTTTACAATTATTCATCCCCGTGGTAGACAAGGAGCAAATGTACTACCTGGTTAATAGAAGTTTTTCGCGGAAAAGAAAATAATACTAGTACTTCACGGTAAAGAAGGATTTTTCGCGGAAAAGCAATGTCGACTCGCGGAAAAATTTATCAGCGCAATTGAGGAATTTTCCTGTAATTTTTCCCAGAAAAAGTATCCACACCAACTCAAAAAACAAAAAACAACTAGATCGACCCAAAGGACAAAACCTTATTTAAAGAAAAGAAAACTAACCTAAACCTGAAAAACATATTTTGAAAGGGGGGATGTCACTTTACCTTCCTACATGTCTTACCAACTTTACAAAGTTTACTTGACCCTTCCCCCTTCATATTTTTGGTATTTTGCTATATGAATTTTATACAAGTGGTGGGTATCGATCGGGGTGGGGTCCGGATACCCCCCCCCCCCCCGCGGATTCCTTACTGCTTCCTCTAAGTAATCGATATACCTTTGTAACGACAACCTATGCAAGCGTGTGTTTTAATGAAGCTCTAAACACCAAGGGAAAACATTTTTTAGACTTTGAGAACATCTTATCATACAAAGGTGTACATTATGAGCTAATCTAGTTCATTTCCAGGATAAAGTGCCTGCCTTATTTCCCCAGGAAAATTGTTCAAATACAATCGAGTGTTAGTGAACAGAAATCACTGTTGTTTACTTAAATTGGTAATCAATATGTAAATACTGTATTCAATTACTTTATCTTGGTTTATTAAACCTTTACTGATTTTTTCCCTATAGAACATTAGATCGTTAGATGTGACTAATTCCCTAGAAATCGTTAAGAATGGACTAATCCCCGTGTGTTAGTCAAGTGAGCTAATCCTTGCTTCGAAAGCTAATTCACGATTATCCGTAATCCTCTAGATTTTACTTTTACATTGGTATGATATATGAATGGACTAATGTTCATGTGTTAGTTCAGTGAGGTAATCCCTGCTTTGAAATCACGCTATCTGAATCCTCTACATTTTACGTTTGTATCGGTATAAAAAACAGTGAAAGGTATATCATCTGGACCAGGACTAAAAGTATATCATTTCGACCAGGACTATTTCCCTCGGCTTCACCTCGGAAAATAGTCCTGACCTTGGGGAACTGGAACTTGCTAACTCCCTCAATGATAATTATACTTTAACTGTATACTAATATAATATTAAGAATACGTCAATTTAATATTGTGAACCTGAAATCTTGAAAATAGATGGCCCTTTGTTCATAATAAACAGAAAGCAATATTAATTTTATTTTGTAATTCGGGGGAAAGGAGGCAGGCAGTACAGTTGAGACTTTTTACATGTTCTATGGGGGGGGGGGGGGGGGGGAGGGGTCTATTCAAAGAGAACTTTGATTACATGAAATATTTATAGTTCCTATATCACGTTTAGTAGGCGTAGAAATTAAAGCATAAGTAATTATTAATTACTTAGTAAATAATTATTGATAATTAATTGTATATTTTCAAGATGACAACAAATAAAAAAGGGACAAAAAAAAGGATTGACGTGGAAAAAGTATCATTATGTTCATCGTGGTAATGAAATTTCAAGTAAAACTTTACCATTTACCCATGTAGGGGGCAGGTTCACATTTTTTTATCGACATGAAACATTTTTCGAATCGGAATCAGCACTGAAACAAAACGTGTCTGAACGTTACGTATAGATAAATTGAGAGTATAAACAGGTTAAACAAAGAAAATGCACACAAAAAAAAACAAACAAAAACGAAACCAAAAAAAACAAACAAAAAAAACAAAACAAAACTCGAACGAGGAGGGGGTGGTGGTGGTGGTGCTGGACCCGCCTTTGAATACGTACTAGATTGTTGATATTGATATCCAGGAAGTCATTATTTCAATAACCTGTGAGAACGACATTTTCTACAAAATCCAGCACAGAGGAATCCATTTCACAATAAAACCGATGCTTACATTGTATGTGCATTCATTAATAATTTTCTATGTTCTATGACACCCTATTTATATTTTATTTCAATTTTACCAATCAGTTGAAACAAATTAACAAGAATAAAATCAGCTATATTTTCTACGGTTACTGCATTACTGTTCGAGAATATTTCACTTATCCACAGAGATCTGTGGATATATATACTTATCATTTCTTAGCAAAGATTAATATTTGTTTTAGTAAACAAATCAGAATTTCAGTTTTGCATGTGCGCGCAAATAGGCAATACTTTTTTGGATATTAATACAGAAGGAGCACAAATAAATTACGTGATTCTTGACAATCAAAAGAAAACAAGCTGTATAATTTCAAGTTCACGAGATAGCCGCATGAGGAAAAATTCTGGAATAAGATATTCTCTATGAAAAGCCTCAAGTTGAGGACACATGTAAGACCACAAGTCATTACTGACAGATATTCTCTCCACTGACATACCCTTTGGAGACCAGACAACAAAGTCGCAAACGTCCAATTCACACAAAGCTAACTGCATTTGAATCTGATAATAGTATTTGTGATTTCTATTGAGTCTCAAATTTCCTTGATTATCTTTAACACAATAAAAAAATTTTACATTGCTTTGTTGACAGATTGTCTATGAAGTTCAAGGAATTACAATTTCTAAGCACATATGGGCATTTGATCTCAACTAGACCCTTTGTTTCATTTAATTTATCAATGAATATTCCATCAGGACTACATTCAAGAGTAGGGTGTTTTGGGTTCAACCACAAACCCGTTTCCTGCACATTGTAGTTTGGATGTTGTTGTTTGTACAGTGCTGCTATCCTATAAGTTGACAATCCTATCCTATCCTATCGTGAATCCTGCATCCACAATCCTATCCTGTGATTTCAGTCTAATCCTATCCTATCCTATCCTGCTACTTTCAGTTTTTTAATATTTAGGAGTTAATTTGACAAAACGAAAAAAAAAAAAAAAAAAATAACCATCATATAAAAATCAGTTATAATTATGGATTTTATTTAATATGTTTAAATGATAAATATAATCGAGATCGACGTCCATTAATTCCCGACACCCCGC